TGATGGTGTCCCGGTCATGTTGTGATGGTGTCCCGGTCATGTTTTGATGGTGTCCCGGTCATGTTTTGATGGTGTCCCGGTCGTGTTGTGATGGTGTCCCAGTCCTGTTGTGATGGTGTCCTGGTCATGTTTTGGCGGTGTTCCGGTTATGTTTTGATGGTGTCCGGGTCATGTGACGGTGTCCCGGTCATGTTGTGATAGTGTCCCGGTCATGTTGTGATGGTGTCCCCGTCATGTCATGCTGGTGTCCCGGTCACCTTGTGATGGTGTCCCGGTTATGTTGTGATGGTGTCCCAATCATGTTGTGACGGTGTCTCGGTCATGTTTTGATGGTGCCCTGGTCATTTTGTGATGGTGTCCCGGTTATGTGATGATGGTGTCCAAGGAAGAGATGGTCGATGTGTTGAAAACAGTAGCTGTTTCCAGATTTTTCTTTTTGTTCCGGTTTGTATCTTGCTATTGGGGTCTCCAGCTGGGCTAATTTTGTTCCAATGCGTCTTGTGAGTGAGGTGTTTGTCTCCGATATTTCCTGCGGTTTCTCCGGACACTTTTTGCAAACATCGGCATGGTATATGCCGTTGTGTTCAATCTTTTGAGATACTTCAACAAGGCATGACCACTGCAGCCTGCAATAGACTCAAGCGATGGCATGGACCATGGTCTAAGCGAGATGAACTACTGAGAACATGCTGACGTAAGTAATAGAGCAGAGTACAACGGTAACATGTTGGGGAATAAGTGGGCATGCTATACACTAGTGACATGTCAGTGAAGCGTGTTTGAAAAATGTGATCAATGCCCGTTGTTCCCGTCAATGTTTCCCTCAAACCAAAGATCTTCAGGGTCCCACGATCGCTGTAGTCGGCCCAGTTGACACCGTCGGTCACCTGGGTGTCCCGGTCGCTGCGGCAACTGGCAGCGACCGGGACGCCCCGTTTGGGGGTCAGAAACTTCCAAAACAGTTGCCAACACCCTCCACCATCTTCAATGGAACGAAACTCGTTTCAGGGTCATGGTGCGTGACATCGTCACCTGGCGTGGCTGGTGTGACCCAACGATGTTTCAACTGGACAACACTTCCGTCTCCCGTCCTGTGGTCCTCGTCGCGCTGGGGAAGCCTCTGCCATGACGCCCGGCGCCCGGTCGACGGTGGGGGAGACAGAAAAATCCGAGGAAAGACTCTCTTGAAAGAAGGGAGGCGAAGCTCTTCCTGCCAGGGTTGTAGACTCTTGATCAGATTTCATCTCTTGGACAGTCTTCTTCCATTTTAAAATTAAAGGCCTAATGGCCTAATATGAAGAGGATTGGAGAAAACATGGCCTTCAAATGTATCCTGGCTCACACAGTTCCAGGGCGCACCATTCAAGGAAGACAATCCCAGCCGGCATATGTGAATGCACTCCGTCTTCGTTGAGCTCGCCTACCTTCTTAGACGTTTCTTGTTGAAGTGAAGAAGCGGAGTCACAAAAGCCAATCTCGAAACACTGGAATTTCCGGTTGTTGGATTTTTGTTCTCTTTTTCGCTGACTCCCAAAGGGAATCTTTACTTGGGATCTTTTAGTTTGTCGGTGGGTGGTAGCCCACGGCACAGTCTCACGCGTAGGGGGAACCGACGTGGGCGAGAGAGGAAGAAGATGAATTTCATTTCAACTGGCTGGGGGTTATGGTCCTCAAGAGTCTACATTAGATTGGATGTATTCATATATTTGACACTGGAACTGTCGCCTGTCGCATGCATCAAGAGCCAACACATGTCTCACCGAAGAACGCCGATGCCTTGGGATCTATCTCCGTGACCGGAGCTGTTAGCATCTGCAAAATCCACAAAAAGGGGGTCGAAAAGGCCTCGGTCCTCCGACCCTTCTTCCTCCCCCCGCCCCGCTGTGGGCGACAACGCTCCGCACGTGCGAGGTCTCCCATGATCCTACCGGGTGCGTGGCCGGGGCATGTGCCGGCGTTCGGGTGCCCGAGACCATCCACGCCAAACGGTTCAAGATCTCAGGCACCGCACCAAGAATTCGCGAGGAACCGGTGCAAACCAAAGAGTCGGGGGTGCGTTCCTTTTTTTCTTTTCCTCTTTTGTTTTGTTTTTTCTCTGGGTGAAATCTGAAAGTCCCGTCAGACAAGAGTTGAAATGGGTGATCCATCCAGCCGGCTCATTAGCTCAGTGAGGCTCTACCAGCAGCCCTTCGGCTATGCACAGCAGTGGGGGGCCCAAACATGGACCGGAACGGAACAAAATCCAAAATCGACCATCTCCCATTGTGATTGTGGTTACTTTTGTATATTTGTATTGCGTTCCTGTACCAAACAAGTTCCTGCAAACCAAGTACAGTAGCCTTGAAGGAAAACGCCAGAGTTCTGGCACAGCTCAAAACGTTTGTGTTGGTGCAAACCTTTAGGTTCCACTTGTCTGGATGCAGAGCCACCGTTCCTGCTTTCAGACACGGGGGCTGGGGGGCTGGGGGGCTTTGCGGTATCACTCGATGGAGTTTTTGAGAGAAATCCGAGTGAAATTGAACCACTAAGGTCACTAGGTCTCGACAAGGTCTCCCCCCTTACACTGCAAATGGTCCAAGACCGTTGTCCTCAATTGATCCTCCCAGCACCAGGCAGTATGAGTGGCAGGGACTCTCTTTCAGAGTGGCAGGGAGGGAGCAACTTCCTCCAGGTGTGGGATATTCCGACATTTTGGGCGAGGGACCTCTTTCAAGTTGATGTGGCAGCAACTTCGGGCGAAGTGGTTCCAGAAAGAACTTCGAGCGACACGGTGTCACTCTTTTCCGTAATAGCTGCACATCACACGGGGAGCAACTTTGATCCGGAATGAGCTCTTAAAGAACACCTTGGTCTAAATGGCTATCCTCACAGCACTCGATTCCGGGTGTTGTTGGATGCGCTAAGCTGTCGTCTGGGAACAGCTTCGCCGGGAAGCAAGCCCATTGAGGGTGGTTGAACCCACTCGGTTTCTTCCGGACGGTCTGAGACCTGTCGTTAGGGCACCAACCGCTGAAACGGGTCGCGCAGGGGGCGCCCGCCTCCGCGGGAGGTCGCGCGAGACGCGACACGCGCCTCCCAAGCTTCGAAGCTTGGATGAAGCCCAGGCCAGTGGTCTACCAGCCGCAGTTCCGGGGCCCAGGGGAGGGTGGGGAGGGCGGTCGGGGAGGCGGTGGGGTGGCAGGTGATATGCTTCACCAAACAGGATGTCAAGATATTCTACTCATCCACCGACTTTGCAAGATTCAGCGAAACAACTTCCTTGGGGTGAAAACAACGTAGCTTCTATTGGTTCTAGATTGAACAGAAGAACAGGTTTTGGGGGGAGTAGGATCTTTGGGTTTTGTGAGGACCTTTGGGTTTTGGGAAGACTTCAATTGCCCATCCCCTTCTTCCCATCCGGATCTTCCCATCCTCAGCCTCAGCGACCCGGTCGAGCCGCCTTTCGTGGGGGCATTCCACCGGTGGCACCACCGTGGTGGTTGAGAGGGGGATCTTCCAACAGTGTTGGAAGAGCAAATCGATGCGAGACACGAGCCAATCGCATGGTGTGTCCCCCCCCGCCTGGTTTGTTCCGGTGGCTTCTGCCTGTCCAGCGGGGACCCAAGCGTCTGACACGACCATCCGATGACCCTGAAATCCCTCAAACGGGGCCAACGTGGATGGCAAGGCGCGCCCCAACACCGTTGGATCCGAAGACCCTCAACGTTTCGCCCCAAGGGCTTCGCATCGATCCGACCCCCCCCTCTCATGGCGTCGTGGGTCGCACCGACAGAAAAAGGAGACTCCAGCCGTTTCGACATGAAGGGAGTCCACCCGAAAGAAAGACATCATACTCCTCCTACCCCATGTAACACACCCTCCCACCCACATGAAGGGATTCCTCACCTTTTTGGGAAAAAAGTCATTCGAGGCATGGTCTGTTTCGGACTCCTCCCAGCGATCGACCGTCGACCGTCGATCGCGGGGGAAAACGAGGGGGCAAAACGAGGGGGAAAATGAGGGGGAAAACGGTGATGCTTGCAGGATATCAAAAACTTTGGTGATTGGCTATAAGGGGCCTTTCCGTGGAAGGCTTGGAGGTTTGGCCTGGTGGACAATTCGTTCCACGATGTCAACCTACCATCAAGCGCCTCGTGTCTTTTTGGGTTTGGACTCACAGCCACTGCATGAATCATTGTCAGTGCTTGTCTAATTACAACGTAGGTCTTTTTGGAGGAACATCCCAGATGTTTTTTTGAGGGTCTCCAGAGACTGCATAACCCTTTGGAGGATGTCCATGTCGCACCGACCCTGTTGGGGCTCGCTGTTCAAAGATGCATTGGTCTGGCCACAGTGACATACCAAGACACCGGCGGCCACCGACACCCAGGTTGATACTAACTGAACCCAACAAGTCAAAGACCTCATTGTACTGGAGATGGATCAGATGGTCATACAAAGCCAATACTTAAGAGGGTAAAAGACCAGGTTTTACTGGGTCAGACTGGACCTTGTGGAAGGCTTATGGGAAGCGCCCAAAAGGAAGAGACGGCCTGAACGGGCCCCGATCACAGCCTCCGCATTCCCCGAGCCAAACGAGGAAACAGCTGGCGAACGGACTCCATGTGACGATGCAGAATATGAGGACTTCAGGGAGTGTACTAGGAACAAGGACGAAAAGGCACGGGGCTCCTGGCCTTACTAGGAGCAAGGACTTCAGCGAGTGTACTAGTCTTTCGCTTCCCGAAGTCCGTGGACCGCACGTGACTCAGTGGTCCAACCGGGTCACACGTCCTCACACGTCGCGTCCGTGCGACGTCGACGTCTTCATCTCCCTCGTGGTCGGGTTTGACTCTCGGTCGACCTCTTCGGCTCGGTCGCGGGCGACGACGCGGCGTCCGAGCTCTTCGTTCGGCCCAGGGTGCAGAGTCCAATGGTGCTGTCAGGGCCCGAGAGCTCAGAGGGAGATGGAGCTGGGCCGGATCAGCTGCAAACATGATGTCGTCACATGGTTTGAAGACATTTGGCAGTCCCATGAACATGTGAAGTTTCATAGAGCATGTGGTCGGAAATGATGAAGCTATCTACACTATGCAGTGCTTGTTCTTGGAGACGGGGGCTTCAACTTTCAACCCTGCTGCATCCTTATCTACTGCGAAGCCTTTTCAGACAATCGCGTAATGGAGAGAGAGGAGAACAACATGCGGAACTGCGAAAAGCACACAGCTGGGACTCTGCTTGAACCCATGTGCATGTTGAACACTAGATAGGCAAGATTAGAGATTAGAGATTTACTAGATATGTTGTTGGCAACAAGAGTTGACCAAAAAAGAGGAATCACGTCTTTTCCACCACTGGTGCCACCAGCCGTTCCGTTATTTTCTCACTGAGTAAGTAGGCTGACACTCCTCTGTCTCAGGCCAGTTGCGAGCCCTGTCCAGCCCAGAGCTCAAGACGGGGAGGGCCGAGGGCAGCTCCCAACTTGTTTGCATTCTTTTGTCAGGGGTACGCAGGCAGCTTTTCCATTGCCTTTTGGTGCTGAAAAACACGACTTGGGCTGAAGTAGTTAACATGTTCTGCTTCTTCAAACTTGATGGTGAGTCACAGCTCTAACTCACTGTCGATGGCGCTCAGGAATAGGATGCATTGCATTCCCATCTTTTTCATTGGAAGAATTGGAAAGTCATGGCCGTTCATCCATTGGTCTCATCGAGCAAAATCCAGGTGACACCGTGACACCTATCAGGGGGTCTCCCCCTGGCCAATGTGTTTTGGTCCATTTGGGTTTGCCGACTGCCTATTTTGATGCAGGGTTTCTGAACCCATGATTATTCATGGGAGTGGAAGATATTGCTTACATTGACCCCAGGTCAACCACCCCTGGCCTGATCACAATGTCAGTCCCGTGGATGGTGTGAGGAAGAAAGACTGTTTCTCCTGGAGTCATCCCTGAGGAGTTCCACCATGCAGCTGAAAGTTCATCGAAGGTTCACTGCGGCAGTGAAGAGAAGCAGCCAACCACGCATGTTTTCCGAGGGTCAACTGGTCAACTAGTCCGCTCAGAGGCTTCCAGGCCATTGCTATCAGGTTCCTTTGTGCTATTAGGTTGGAGACCATCGCTACTAGCTTGGAGGCCATCGCTACTCGGTTGGAAGGCCATTGCTTCCACACACTCTGAGGTATGTGATGGCTCCAGTGCCTGCGCCTATCCTGCCCACAAGCAGCTATTTGACGCCCGGCTTCCCACGGCTCCATCCGACGGGCTCCGTCTGAAGCGGCCCAGTTCCGTGGCGGAAACGACCAAAGATTGGACCCTGTCAAAAGGTGGTGAATAAATCCAATGGTTTGAGAAACACATGGAAGAGATCAAACACCGTTTCAACATGGGGCCACCAGAAAACACATGGGCTGGAGACACGGTGAGAAAAAAGAGACATTGGCATTCTCGCGGAGGCCACTCCTTTCAACGACCAGCTGGTGTTTTTCCCAGACCTATTTCAGTTGGTTTGCTTCTTCAGTTCTGCTCCCGAACAGAAAGAAGAAATGGTTTCTGGTGTGGGATCGAAGTGCAGAGGCAAGCATCGAACACGACTGGCTAAAATGGTTTTCAAAGCCTCTGTGTATGTGTCTTACTTCGAAACCAAGAAACACACTCCACTTGGTTTGCCTCGGTTTGCCTCGGGTTGCAAACGTGTTTTCCATGCTGGACATCTCCGAGTCCAGTTCAACCCACACAATCTTATCTCATGATTGAACTGACTAGGATCCACCCCAAGTGACAGCCAGTGACAGCACAACCGGGATGACCGGCCCAAGGCCAGGCGGTGTTGATATGCAGAATCCCTTCGCGTGCCCTGGAGCCAAACCGCAGTTTTCATGGGGTGTTTGATGAGAAACGTCAGAAATAGAGGCCGTTTCGAAGACATGTTTGGAAGGGATATACTTTTCGGCCTAAAACTATCTTCATGAATTGCTGTGCATTGGGTGTCAAATCTTCAAAGCCACGCGACATGTTTTTCTGCGTGTTTAGAAACGTTCGTTTCCTGCGGCAAACTCCTGATGGTTCTAGAGTATTTACACATTTACTGGACAATTGACTGGTGTGACCAGTAGGGAATGATGGAATGAGTCCACGATATAGAGATCTGCATTCCTTCATATTCCTTACTAAGTGCCAACCAATACAACCCTCACTGATGAACTCTACACGGCTCGACCAGCTGTTGAGCAGCAGGTGACATCCCCAAAGAAGGACCACCAGACCACCACCATCTACCATCGCGCCGCTTTCTCGCGGTCCGCGTCGGTCGCGCCGCGTGTCTTCTCGCTGCCAAACGCTTGTTGCCCGTGCGGCTGCATCATGATGGCAGGTATCAAAGCGGCATGCCGGTCATGGCCACCAGTGGCTCTTTTGTGGCGCCGGTGGGGACTACGCCACCCGGTTGGAGCACAGGGGCACAGGGGGAAGTGGCAGGGGGAAGTGGAGAGCACCGAGAGTATGAGGACTGTTTACTAATGCCAAGAGTGACCCAAGATTCTCATCACTCTTGGGGCAAAGGCTCTATATATTATATATATATATATTACGTACTTATCAGAGTACAAACTTATTATCATTTTCCCCGCTTTAGGTCGGCCAGGACCGAAACCACCCGTTGCACCACCGGTCAGGTCTGCTCCGCCGCCCATCGGTCTGCCCACCGGTCCGGCGCCGACCGCGCCCGCGCCGTCCACGGCGCCCGCGCCGCTGCCGAGCGCGGGGTCCTTCGTGCCGCCGCCCACGGGGCCATATGTGCCACCGCCCTTGCACCCAAGTAGCTCGGTGCCACCGGCCGGGCGTCTTCTTTTTGGGGTATATATTCCTTTTTTTTTCAGGAAGTGGATGAAGTTGATGAATCAAAGCCCTTGAGTTAGTTGGATGAAGTTGATGAACTCCATATTGCCATCGATTTCTTGTCTTCATCAATAGTCAGCCATAGAAAAGAGTCAAGGTGGATGAATGAGATGTTTCTATTTTTGCAAGGCATCCTTGAAGATTGGTTCCACTCCCAAAAAAGTAATTCGCTTACTGTAGCAAGAAGAAATTGATGGGTTTCTTAGGATCGTACCAGGAGATGTTTGACCATCCATTTGAGTCAAGGGGGTTTGGTGAAAATCATAAAGTCAGAAACCGAGAGCTCGGTTACAAGTTTTTTTGCATTTTCTTACGGTCAAAATATGTTGGCTCAGCCAAAGAAGCTCTGGGTTTTGAACTGAGCTGTTATGTTTCCACCACAAAAACAGCTCAGATGCAGGCACCTCTTTGTTGCTGTTTTGTTCAGTCAGGCACCTGGCCAGTCAAGCCCGAGAATCCCGAGAAGCGGAGGATCCCACCTTCCCTGTACAACTGGGTGAAGCCTACACCAGATCTTGGTCAGGGATTTCAAGCGTTTTGTCATCCCAACTGACCCTCCTTGAAGGATTCATCCCTTGGCGGCTGTGCTTCCGCATAGGTCTTTCCAGGTCCGCCACGGCTTTGGGGGAGAAACGAGCCGCATGGGTCTTTCCGGGTCCGTGTTGGTACCACTTGTTGCCTTCTGCAGCAGCAAAACCTCTCCTCGCCATGCTCCCGCCACAGCTCCCAGTGGCTCCGGACACCACCCCATGACCCGCTCGACGCGCCCAGGTACTGGTTCCTTTGTGCCGCAGCACTACATGCCGTATGCGCCCATGACCAGCACGGGATCCTTTGTCCCACCCTTGGTGCCCAGTGGATCCTTTGTGCCCATGCCCACGAGCCATAGCTCCTCGGCCGTGGATGGGACATGGCGCCATGACGGGGTGGTGGAGTCCGTACTGAGGCAGCTGAGGCAGCTCCATGGGTGTCGTATCCACCCCCCACTTGAGTGAACTTGTCCAAGAGTTCGATGCTTTGCTTCGAAACGGTTGGAACACATGTCGCAGGTCAATGTTTCCAGAAAGGGACACCGGCACACTCCGTGTAACAACCGCTCTTGTGGATGCTGCGGTTAGCTTCTTGATTTGTTCTCTTGCAGGGAGTAATTACTTGGACATAAAAGGGTTTCTTGTTGGACTACAGTCTTCGCCTTTATCACAAGTTGCCCCGTTTGTTTTTGGATGTTTTTGGTAACTGGGCCCTCATCGCAAGATCACGCCACCGAAAGCGCCCGCTCTTGTAGCTCTCCTCCAGTATAACGCAGTCCGTCAAGGCATCTGGAAGCTTCTTTGGAGGCTTTGGCATTCTAGCCCCCTTTTCTCTTCATTGTGACAGGCACACTGTATCCCCTTGTCTGGACGAGGCGGAGGCACCGGTCCAGAAGGTGGCATCACAGAGCGGATACGGATATACAATATACCAATTCTAAAAGGATCTACTTGAAAAACTCCAGCAAAATTTGAACAGAGTATACAGATCTTGTGCCCATCTACAGTAGATCCTTCCTGATCATCTAGATGATTCATCAACAAACATATCATTCGACTACTACCGCAAGAACCCCCGGGGACGGCGTGGCCACACCGGTGGGGGACAAAACGCACGCCTGGCCGAAGAAGGACCGACCGACCGGTCTGGTGAGTCTGGTGACCCGAAGGTCGGCTGAAGCGACCGAGGCTGACGATCAGATGGTTCCAAACAGACGCATGTCCAGGTGGAGAAAAAAACCAAGAAAACAAGGAGAAAGAGTTTTCTTCTTCTTCGTCTTCTTCTTCTTCTTCTTTTTCGGTGTTTTTGCTGTCCCCCTTGGAAAAAAGCCCGTCTGCGGGTTTGAAGCCGCGCCTCTGTCACCGAGGCTTTTCAGGCTCCTGGGCGGCATCCGTTGTGGGGTTCAGCCAGGAGGTCTCTGTGAACAGAAGAAAAGAACAAGACCTATATAACAAGTACACATTAGACTAGACACATCTCCAGAGCACTCTTTTTCTAAGGGTTCTTTCCGCACACGCGAGGTTTTTGCATTGGCGCATGACCCTCTTTGATGCCACGATTCTCCGATTCTCCTCCCTCGGCGACACCCGTTGAGTAGGTTCATCGAACAATTTGAGACATACCCACATCAGCAATACCTTGAGTCTGTCCGAACTGACCTGTAACAGGACCCGTAAACAATTATTACTATGTTTGAACAAGGCCTTCAACCTAACCATCATTATCCACTGTTACAGGATAGACCCAAGCACCACCTTCCACCTTTGCAGAGATACAGTCAACGCGGCTCTTCCTGTCACATCCAAGAGTGTTCCATGTTCATGCAGATTTGAGACTGGCCTGGCCCACACAAGCTTCAAACGTTTTTCAGAACTTGGCAGTCTCCCCAGCTGCACTTTTGGACCATATGCTTTTCAACCACAACAACTGCCTTTGCTTGGGTACGCTAAAGGCAGGCGTGTACCCCATCGCTTCTTTGACCGTTCGCCCACACACCTGCTTGGCTTGGCAGCGAACGCGCCAGGGCCGTCCTCGTTCGTTCCCCCGTCTTCCGCCGAGCTCGGCAGCTCCGTGCGGGCGCGGTTGGGCGAAACCGAGGTTTTCCCACGTCGGGCTCCTTCGTGGCGCCCGGAAGCCTCAGCTCAGGTGGTCGTTGTTTGGTCCACCAGAGGTGGGTGTGGCTGGTTGGTGGTGGTTTCTCCTCCAAAAGTGAGTGAACAGCTGCGGGGATGGGAGGGGCATAAGGTTTCTCATCTTGGGAATGGGTTCTTCGAAGTTGGGCAGGTGGGAATGGGAAATCACAGGCTGCATACAACCCCCTTGTGATATTTTTCCTACTGAAACATCTTGACCTACAGCCCTGTGGGTGCATCATCAAAGAGGTTGAGGGCATCATCCACATTTTTTGTTAGGAGTTCAATATGAACAACATCAATTATGAACAATTTATCGAGGTTCCAGTGCCGGTGACATCTTCGTTCGACGACACGCAAAGCATCGACCATTGCCCTATGACTCTATGACCATCGAGGCCATGAGGATGCTGAACTACCAGGAGTCACATGGAGTTGGGTGGTTTTTAGTCCCATCCAGGGGCTGTGGATAATGGGCCAAGTTTGGCCTATCCTCCAAGTTTGGCACCCTTTGTGACTGCTGGTATTTACATTTTTGTTTAAAGGGCTCAGCAAAACTCTGAGCTTGGGCGTGCTTTAAGCGTTGAACCCCGTTGAACACTTCCAACCTCATTCTGATCACTTCCAACCTCATGGGCTGAATCCGCTTTTGATTCACTTGACCTCTCGAATCCCACAGCCTCATGCTTGGACCAGACCTCGGGTCGCCCCGCCCCCGAGGCCCGCGGGTCCCGGCGTGACGGTGGGTTTGGCGAAGTTGAGCCGCGGACTCCCAGCGATGGGAGAACGGGGGGTTTCTGAGCAACTGGGTGGGGATCTGGAGATGTAAACGCATTCTGGAGGAAGGGTGTTGTGTTTCTCAAGTTTGTTTCATGAAGGAACTGGGGGGAGGGTGGGAGGGGTGGAATTGCAGAATGAAGCCAGAGTGGCTGGGAGAAACGGCATGCTTTGTGTCTCTCACCACATGATGTCAAGCCAGCACGTTTCAGGCGCGCCCAATCGCTTCAAGTTTTATGCGAAGCCGCCCAAGTGGAGCGCCCAAGTGGAGTGGCTTTGTCGAGTGGATTGTGTTGTGTGACTAGACGAGGTTGTTTACCTTGCAGGTGGTACAGAGGCAAACTAGGTAGTGCATCGCAGGTGTGGTGCCTGCCTGGGAGATTTGACACACTGTGCATTCTTTCCAAGTCTAGGATGCGGAAGCCGAGCCCGAAGGAAACGCGAGACCGGCACTGTGCGTTCTCCAGGATGGACGCCACGTGAGAAAAAGATCGACGGTCCAGATATAGCCAACCACCAGATGGAGGCATGACTTGTGGCCTCCATGAACCCTGGGAACTCTGAAGCAGTTCCTGCCCCCCTTCGTCCGCTGCTTCGGCCACGCTGGTGGCGCTGGGAACGATGTTCCCGAGAAATGCCTCTTTTGGTTGGACATGCCAAGAGAGGCTTTTGGGTGACCTGAAAAAAGGAGCCTTGCCACCTGGGGTACCCCAACTGGGATAGTCTATACAGTCTACAATAGGATTCTGAAGAACCTCTGTTGGTGTTTCTCTCACAAATGAAGTGATTCATTTTTGTGAGACCTCCTTAATTCGAGGATTTTGGGGTCTCCTTGTTCCTTCGCACGGATGTCGGACCTTGGCCCTGAGGTCCAAAGAAGACCATGAGCAGACGGGCGCCTCGTCGGTCCTGCCGAACGAACGGCTGTTCGATGTAGCGACTGTGACCATGGGACTGGTCAGTTCCGGGTAATGTCAAGCCAGGATTAATAAATCCCCTCCAGTTAATCCGAGCCCACAAAGCACCCAAAAAATGTTTAGAGTTATTTTTATTAAGGGATTAGCTAGTGGAGGTTTATTAATCATCTCATCAACTCTCAACTCATGCTGCTCATTCAGCAACTCTCACCTCATGCTGCTTCCTATATGGACTCTGGCCTCATGCTCATCAGCTCATCCCCTCTCAAACCTTCATCGTCCAATGGTTTTATAGCACATTATTCAGGGGGAGTGGACCTCATGAATGGTACCTGAGACTATCTAGACCTTCCATGTGGGGGGGGTTATTAATCCGGTCTTCACACTACACCCACTCAGAACTGGATGAGTCTGGGCCAGGAGTTCTGGTCGAAATCATGGGGGGTTGACCTGTTGCGATGACTGGGTTGGACTGGGTTGGACCGGGTGTGTGGAAAGAGTCGGCAAGGTTGGGGGCCGCAAGGTGGGTCTGGGGCGAGCATTTGGCGACCATCTCCGGGATCTATCATGTCTTTTTCTCCGGTTTCGTGGGCGTCAACTAGAGAGGTTTTCTTGGGTGCATGGCATTATGGACTGTTGGAACCTTTTTGCAGTTGGGAGGTGGCAATGAGGATGCTCATGTTCCCATGCTTTTCCTTGCAGTCACGCTACATGATCCAATTCGTTGCAGACAAACAGCTACCATACGCATGAGCCGCATGAAAGTGTGGGGTCTATATACCTTGCTACTTCAGGACAGATGTTGTTGCCCCAGTGGTTCTAAGTCACCTGTCATGCCTGTCACGCCTCTCACCGCCATCTTTGCTGGCCCAAATGCTTCGTTGTGGCACTCGTTGGAAAAAAACTACCGCCCCATTGGGCTTCGACGCTTCCTCACCGGCCACCGGCCACCCCTTTTCCGACCCGAACGCGTGGCTGACCGAAGCCGTGGCGGACCCTCCCGATCGACCACGAGTGAACGGTCAGTGGGGGGTCCTTCCGTTCGGACCACGCACCGCCTCCAAGCACCGGCTCCGGGGGGGGGAGTGGTTGCCAAGTCTTCAGGTCGTGGGCCAAGCTCAGGGCTCCTTGGAATGGGCATTGGGTGGGTGTCGATTCTGGGTGTGGATGCTGTGAAACAAGAAGACGATTTGGTCCGGAAACTGATGAGGAAGACCTGGTAATATGCAAAAAGTCCTGATGACCCATCATTCTTTTTCGCCATCCATGTCTCTAGGCTGTTTTTTTTTTTTAATTAAGGACACTTGTCTCTTTGCAGACAGGGTAGCGCTTCCCAATCTTTCATGCTTATGAACTAGTATCATTTGACCCGATCGACGCAGGTTTCAACTGAGACAGTGCCATGATTTAGCTTTACCAACTCAGAAACAGTGCCATGACAGTGCTATGGCAGCAGAAGCCTCGGAAACATGTTTTCACGCGTCTGGATCCTCCAACAAATGGAGATCTCTGGCAACATCCGGAGATCACCTTCTTCCAAGAACATATTGTAAGCATGGTCTGTCACCTGGAGAGAACCCAGGTGCCAGACGCGGTCTTCAATCCCAGGTGCCGGTGTAAGCATTGTATCTGGTGATGTTTTTCCTTTTTGAACGATCCCTCCAAAGCACAATCTTCGCTTTTCCACAATGGCACGGTTATTTTCTTCCAAGGATTCAGCATCCAAGGTTTCCTATGGTTTTTCTTCGGGCTTGTCAAAGACTTGGGGGGTCGACCTCAAGTTGCTCATGGGGTAGACTGCCACACTTCGATTGTATCCAAAGGCGTGAAAAGGGATTTCTGATTGCTGTGCCTCTGGTCTTGCTCAGATAGTTCCAGTCTTCTGGTCATCGTGGAAACATCGTCGGCCATCGTGGTAAGGAGATCTTCAAGGATATCATATTAATCCTCGTTAACATTACCAAATGGGTGGTCTCATAACTTATGTGTATTCATATTATAGATATTATAGATATTCCAAAACGATCTTTGTTGTTGCCCCTCTGCAAAAGCAGAATTTGCATTTCTCGATCGACACCCATTTCAGAACCAGTGAATCTTGGACTCTTGCTTCATTGTTTCAGCTACCTCCTTAACATGCGAACCTGAAAAACTATTGGGTTCTAGAGAAATGATCATGTTGCAGTCTGGTCTGTCTTCACGTTTCCCAGGTGGTTTTCTTTGGATTTTTTTCTTGTTTCCCAGGTGCTTGTTCTTCCCATCAAGCACCTGGGAACGTGAAGGTGTGCCTGAATGGGATCTGTCAAGTGGGTGTCAAAATCCAGACCCAGCTCCGGTGCCCGGCTCTCTCCAACCACCGAGGTCGGACCACAGGCGGCGGGCGGAGGGAGGAACGTGGAGGTGGTCGTTGTTCTCTTTATTGGCACGGAGAACGTGCCAGTGATGGTTTGTTGTTCTATTATCTGATGTATAAGTCACAGGGGTCATGTATCTACTGTACCCACCTGCAACTACTGCAGAACGTGACCCTGGGAGTCAAAGACGATAAAAAGAATGGTCTTTAGGTGACCCGAGTCTAGGAATTTCCTTTACTTCAGCCGGACTTCTAGGGTGATGGTGTTTCTTCTGGGTCTTCTTGAGACATTGGCTGGGAGCAGAGACAGCTGGTCGGTGGCGGATGGTGCTTCCGGTGATGGTGACAGCTGGGTGATTCCACGCCCGTGACACTCACGAAGGGATGGACGAATAAGTGGACTTGAGTGTAGGATCACATGCTTAAGCTTACAATACTTGTAATATCTTGTAATCCTGTGTGCTGACTGGGATGGTCTGAAGCAAGTGACGGACACGTACCTGGATGGTCTTGGATTGAATCGTGCAAAGTTGTCGATCACGGCAAAAGGATGAGGCATCGGTGCAGCGGTGTCCAATCACATGCCCAGGGCATCGGGTGTGTAAGACAACCTAGGCAAGTGCAAACTGGACATGATTTCTTCTTTTTGCATGAAGCCCCCAAATATAAACTTCTACCCTCTTTAAGGGCTTGACAACGTGGTTGCAGTAGTTTCCTCGTTGGGTCTTTGACAACGCATTCTGTGGCCTGCTTAGGGAGCAATCCTCTGGGACAGAGCCTTCATCTCGCGTGCGAATCATGGCCAGGTTCTAACCAGAACCCCAAAGCCCAAGAACCACGGTTTTCCTTTCAGGTTATAGCCAGAAGCCGGAAAACCGTGGTGTTTTCCCACCAGCTCACGCAAGGGCCCTATTTTTTTGCTACGGGGTTGGCTGCTTGTGTGTGGTGGACGACCCACGGGACACAACTTGGAGGTGCAGTTGTTAGTATGGTGGCCTTTTCATTCCCTATCGTGTTCTTTCTTTTTTCCACTTTTTCTTTGGAATCACAGGGTGCTGACTTACTTTTTAGTACACATAGACAACAACCTTCACTTCTCTGCTAAGTTGCTATAGGTTCAAGCAGATGGCTGGCTTCGGCCCCGGTTTGGTGATCGCATTCCGTTCGCGTCCCGTTCGCCGCACCTCCTCTTCGGTGCCACGTAGAGACGACTTGGACGTCTGACACTGTGGATACATATATATATATATATACTCTCCCTGGAACTCACATGGAAGTGGAGTTCACCACCTGTTTGTAGTGGATTTCATGGTCTTCCAAGGGTCTCCACTTCCATGTTAGTTCCAGGGAGTGTATCTTCTTTTTTTGGGTGATTTTCAAGCCCAAAACACCTCGGTTTGGTCATCCCAAAAAAGGAGGCATTTCCATCCACCACCCTCGAAAGCACTGCGGGTGAGCACTGCGGGGGGCTCAAAAGAACTGCACCCCTGCTTTGCAGGTCGGCCTCGCAGCCGCCGCAACACAGTCACAAGGCAGGATGGCTGGGTGGTCGACCTCGCCGACCTCGTCGCGGTGGGCGAACAGGACGGACCACGCCGGGCCCTTCGAAGCGATCCTGTGGAGTCCACGTGGTGGCGCGTGCCAGCGCCAGATAATTCTTTGTGTTCTTTCGTGGCAGTCAGGTGACCTTGGG